ACCTAGTCTCTAGAATGGGGTTTCTAAACCTTTTCACAGAAAATCTCTTTCAAAGTGTTTTAACTACCTATTGATCAACTGCCAGAAAATGACAACTTGCTATCACTGCTGCTAACTAAAGGTGAAGGTAGGGGATATGGCATATTGATTCTTTGTTTATTCTACTATGAAGAACAAAATATCAGAAATGTGTGAGGTGGGGAATTGATTCTTCAATGTTTATCCTGATACAAGGAACAAACCACCAACAGCTGAAGTGGGCAGGGACCAGGCTCAAAGCACACAAAAGTAGGTTCTTCAATTCAATTCAATGTGGCTGGGAGGTGGAACAGAGGATGCTGTGAGTGCCAGGGACTTACATGTGTTCAAGGGTTGGTGGAACAAGCTTATAGAAGAGAATGTGTTAAGGGTTGCTAAATACATCTGCCTCAGGCAGACGGTGACCTGTAAATGCTGGATGATGGGAGACTTTGGGGAACACATACCACATGAGTTTCCTGTGTTCTCTTCAGCTGCTGTCAGAGACAGAATCCTGAATAAGGTGGATCTTTCCTTTGACCTGATATAGTTTTTTTTTTTTGTTCTTGTTAGGCACATCCATTTTATAAATAGTAATGCTGTCTCACTGCTTCCTACTTTGGCTCCTCTATTATCTCATCCATCAACTATTTCTTGTCTTTCTGACTGCCAGCACAGATGAACATTCTTGATGTGTCCATATAGTACCTTGCACTGTTGGGGTCACTTGGTGCGAGCAAGTGCTTCCACAATATAGCCATTATTAGGAAATAGTATAAAAACATGGAGGATTGTAGGTTTTTTTCCTTTTGTTGCCCTCTGTGTTTTGTTATGACTGTCATTTGGCTTCTGTAACCCAAATCAAATTAGTCAACCCTTTTTGTTAAGAATGAAATGTTCCCAGCAATGTAGAGATCTTCTCAATGTCTCCCTTTGCAATGTAGTAAGCAACTTCAAGGGCTGTGGAATCATGATACCTTTTACTAAGAAGTTCTTGAGTTCTTGATTTTCCCCCCTTTCTATTAATGTAAATAATTTGGTGGGATTTTTGTTTGGTTTATTTTTGGGGATGGTTTGGGGGGGTTTTGGAGGTTTTTTTGTTTGTTTGTTTGTTTGGTTTTTTTTTGGTTAGACTGGGGCTTGGACTACAGAATTTTTTAAGAAGAATCATCCTTTCAGGCTTACTGGGAAATTGGGTCATAACTTTCTGTCGTTTACTGGCTAAGTGTTCACAAGCACCATCTATCCTGTATCATAATATTTGAAGAAGTCAGTGAAATCTACAAGCCCAGGTTGCCAGCTATAAAATAACAGTGCTCTAGCAAGATTGTAAAGCTGAACAGGGAGAAACATAATACAAGGTAGCCTGAAAACATGGGAAGTAGAACTTGAAAGCAATGGAATTGAGAATCAACCATAAACAAGGTGGTTGCACTGGCAGACTCTGACCACATATTTGCAATGCAACTTGTGCTTCTTAAACAGGGCAAGTTTGGTCTAAATTGAATTCCTGTTGTAGATTTGATTAGGAAAAAATTTATCTCATGGTGCTAACTACTGATGAAGAACTGACAATTTTTTCAGGCTATTTGCAATTTTGAGAACATCCATGTCTATGAGACACGGTTCAAAAAATACTCAGAAGATGCTAATTAGCACTATATTTTTTTATATAAAATCGTAGAATATCCTGAGTTGGAAGAGACACACAAGGATCATCAAAGTCTTGCTCTTATACTTGCATAAACTGAGATCTAACCTTTTGTAAGCAAATGTTTTGTTAGAAAGAAATAATGGATGCATAATGTTTCTGTGTGGATACTTAAATAAAAAAAGGATTTTGGAAAGTATATATTATTGCGCAAATAAGGGATGTTCCCTAGGACCCAGAAGTAATGGGTTTTATCGATCCTTTCCATAGACTTGCATACCAGCTTGACAGACAGATTGTTTGGATTTTAACCACTCAGACCAGCAAAAATGTCCAAAAGGGGAAAATCACTGGAATTTCAGATTTAGATAATCCCATCAATTAATCTGTTTCCTCAGCTGGGTAAATTTTCTGTTAATTTAGGGAAGGAATAACAAAATCCTTTTTCACTACATCTTCTGAAATACTTACAGAAGTTTACATCCATACATCTCCCAGTCTTCCTCAGAGGAGATGATGTACACAGGGTGTGTGATGGCATGAGTTTGCTGATGCAAGTAACACATCGCTCCTTTCCCTTAATGTCAAGTGTTCATTTAATTAACTTGCTTAGGTGACTGTATTTTGCTACCAGTTATTTTCAGTAATGAAGTGAAATGCTCTGTTAGTGTAAAACACAAGTAAAGTTGAAACTAAAATGTGTCTTTCCATTTGTAGTAGGAGGCAAGTACAATAGAGCTGCCAAGATAGGGGCTGACTCATTACAATCCCAGACACTGTATAGAGGAATACATCACATTTCCTGTCATAAGTCCCCTGAAAGTGCTACTAACTCCAGCTTTGGATGGGTGTGCTGGAAGTTTCTTGTCTTATTGTGTAGACAATAGTGCAGCCCTTAGTTCGTGCACACAGGGTGCTTGGCTTGTGTGCAATACACTGAACTTGTAGAGGAGTATGAACATTTAGAAGTTACATCACTTTTCTGTCATCCTTAATACCACTGCAGGTTACCACAGCCTCATGTCTTCTCCTTGTGGCCAGGGCAGTGGCTCAGTGTCAAGGCATCTCCAGGGGAATTTTGCCTCCCAGCTGCCTTTTCTAATATATGAGGACATGACTGGGTTTCTGTGCTCACCACAACTGCTTCCTCCAAGGTAAACTGCATATTAAAAATACGCTCATAGATACTTCAAAATGTGCCAAGCCTATGGTCAGTGTGGGTTACTGGGAGGTTTTTTTTTGTTTGTTTTTACATTAGAAAACCATGGGGCCTTAAGGAGGATGTTTTTCAGCATTGCTTTCAGAGCACCCTTTCTTCCTTATTAACTCTGCCACTAAAAATTCTCTTTGAATTGATGCTTGGTGCTGAAAGCTTGGCCTGAGGGTTCATTTTTCAATGTGTGAATTTCAGAAAACTGACTATCAAAAAGAGGTGGTTTTGAACCTTTGTGAGATTTTTTTTTTCTGAAGAAAAATGAACACATTTGCACTGTCTGTCTGCTGTAGGACCAGTGATGGTGAAGAAATTGTGCGGTCAAACCTATGTGCCCATTAGCCCTGTCCTATTAAATTTTGAGCTGGTTGTTCAAGTTCAGACAATTTGTTGGGAAGGTATAGACAAAGACCCTGGAAATACTGACTTTCTGCAATTGACATGAAAATAGGTGGCCAGTCAGAGGAGGGAGATCTTACACCCTTGTCATGAGGTGGACATCAGTGAGCCCAGGTAGGTGTTTCTCCCTAGGGCAAAAATCCATAGGAGACTGGATGTTATTGCCTCTACTACTTATGGAGCTGCTTTGTTTTAATGTGTACTTCTTGGGAAACTGGTAAGAGAATTGTGATTTCTTTTTTTCCCCCTTCTCAGAACACACTGCAAGATCAGGCAGCAGCACTTTATATCTGGTCCTTTTGTAGAAGACAATTATCAGTCAGATGCATATGTGATATCATACTGGTGTATCTGTGACACCCCTAAAACATCTTTCTGAGCCCTTAAACAAATTTGTTGTAGCAGTAGTATCTATCTATCTATCTATCTATCTATCTATCTATCTATCTATCCATCTATCTAGAGTATTTGCAGTTGTATCTAGATGTATCCATTGGATTTCAGCTTCCTGCTCATTTGAGGATGGAGGAGGAGAAACCAAGCCATCAAGATTTTAGAGTATTTTACTCCTTTGTGTGGAAGACAGGTTTGGGTTAACAGAAAGTCAATTCCTTTTGGTAAATGACACAAATGTTGAATGAAAATGATTGCTTGAAGAATTTGTAAACTTATCTTTCACGTTTCTCAGTGCTGCTGATATTAGTTGGGGAAAGTGAATCTGAAGCTCTTCTCAACTCAATGGGTCTTCAGTTTCACCATCATGTTTCTTATAAGTAGAGAAATACCCAAACCAATCATAAAGATTTGCTTAAAATAGTGAACAGGATGTTACTGATAGCAGATACAGAGTTTGCAGCCTGTTCCTGTGGTTACGCCGATGTTCCCCTTGGCGAATGAGGGGTGTCCCAAAGCTCCCGTGAAACCAAGGAGCGTGAGCCAAGGAGCATCTCCACTGCCCGGGGAGGCTCTGGGCTTGTTGCCTGAGAGTGGGGGTCGTTCGTAGTCCTGCAGGCTTGAGCCTGGACTGAGCCATATCTCCGCCTTAGCAGCTCCAGCCCGTCCGGGCGAGGGGACAGCCCGGGGTGTGGCTCTCCCTGGGGAGGAACAGGGGTTGAGGCGAGAGGCCGGGGCTGAGGCCGGGCGGCGACGCTCGGGGCCGCCGGTTTCCTGGGCGATGGGTGGGGAGAGGAGGGAGAGGAGGAGGAGGAGGAGGAGGAAGAGGAGGAGGAGGAGGGGTCCCCGCGGCTTTATCTCCCACCCGGCTCCGCCCGCCGTTGGCTGTCTCCCGTGACCGCAGCGCACCGGCGGGCGCAGCGCCGGCCAGGGCAGCGCCCATGGGCTGCGGCAACTCCACGGCCGGCGGCGCGGGCGGGCGAGGTAGGGCGGCGGGGCGGGCCGGGCCGGGCCGGGCTGGGCGAGCGGCGGAGCGAGCATCCCCACCGTGCTGGGCAGCTCTGCGGGACTGCGGGGGGCGGCGGCGGGCACGCACCCGCACGCGGCGGGGATACAGCCCCCGGCGCGGGGGGTGCCCGTCCGAGCCGCGGGAATCGCTGCCCGCCCTCTTGCAAGAGCATCTTCCTTTCCCGAGGCTGATCCGCTTGCTCAGGGCGAGAGGGTGATGTGGCCTGCCGCAGCACCGGCGGCTTTCTGGTGCCCTTTTGTCGCTAGAGTCACCACCTCCGACAGAAGCTGCCCAAGGCACGGCGAACCCAGGCCGGGAGCTGGACGTAGCGATCCCGCCAGGGGTATCAGCTCCATCCTCTTCGCTTCCCTATAAGGCCACGAATGCCACTTCTGAAATGAATTTGTGCGACATCTTCGTCTTTTGCTTGCTGGAGAAGTTGGAGGATATTTCATGATTGAGGTTTCATGCATGTTAATGTCTACTGCTGGCTGGTGAGTCCAGCTGGCTCCCTTATTTGTTCATTGCTATTTTCAAAAGAGATAAGATCTGGGAAGATGGTGCTGTTGTGCTCTTCCTCTCCCCTGCCCCCGCAAATAGGAAAGTACATAGAAACTGGTAAGTGGACCTTCACCCTGTAATTATAATATGAGCATTTCCCAATCACTTTTCATCCTAGCTGCACTTGGCAAACATTGCCACCTGTTCCAGTACCTTTATCAAATCTTTCAGATGCACTTGTGAGCTTTCAGCTCTTCAAAATATGCAAAATAATGGTTGGACAACTTAGAATTACTGGGTCCCCATCTCTTACTGTTTTGATTTGATTTGAATTAACCAGAGTTTCAGTGGTGCTTTGGGTGGTGCTAGTCCTAACTTGGTCCTGCCTGTGAGTGTGAGTGACGCTGTCTTCTCTAGGGTGTACATACGTGTGTGTGCTTGTGGGTGTGATGCTGTTCAACTCTGCACTCCACACTTGGAGGAGAATGTGATTCTGCCATTCTTTACTCAGTTTCTGTTAAATGATTATAACTTAGGTTTTAGGTACTATGTCTGTCCATCAGAGGCCTCTCTCACCCATAAAGAACACACTGTGTGAATTTGCTTGAACATTCAGTGCTCTTACTGGAGCTGTCCTGTTTGCATACATGAATTCTCTCCCTTCAGTTGATTCCCACATTGCTGTGACTGGACGTTCCTTCTGTATATGACCAGTCTAGCTTCATACTACTGAGGTGATGCTTGTTCACATCCAATTTCTGTTTGCTGGATAAAAGCACCAGAGAAATTCAGACGAGACTGTTGAGTCAATTATTAGTCCATTTGTGGTAGTTTCTAAGTTGATGTTGATTTGACTGCCCTGTGGAACTTGTACCAGGGTACAAATGGGTAAATGTCAAATAGACTAACTCTGGCAGCAGTATTTTTTTGAACTCAAAGTTTGTTTAAATGTGTCCCTTTGCATTAGAGGTAGTTGTCTTGAACAGGTTTTGGCTTGTAGATACATTAAGTATTTTCACTGATGGTCTGACCCCTTTGATAGTTAAACTTACTTATATGTTTTACATATACATTTGAACTTGCATTTTTTGTAAACTTTTAAATGCTCTTTAGAAATATTCCACAGATCTCTAAGGGCTTAGTGCAGGTAAAAACCAACAATGCCACGTTTACCCCATCTTTAGTATAATGGAATTATTACTGTTGCACTCATAGACCTCTCCAAATCCAATGCAGCTCTGAAAGGTCCAGTTCACTTCTCACTTTCACCATTGTCAGTCAGGAATTACTCTGTGCAGTCTATGGTCTTAAAATAACAAACAGGTGGTGATAAAAGCAAGATTTCGGATGTCTACTATTTATTTATTTAATTTAACATTCCTTACAAAGTGTGTCTAATAAAAATAAAATTATTTTGTAAAGGGGAAGGAGAAAACTTACCATTTTTGTTTGGAATCCTTGAGCTTTTCAGGAAAATGCAATTCATAATTTCACCAAAAGATGTGAAGACTGTGTAAATACAAATAAATTTTGTGGCATGCACAGCATGACTACATTTTTAATGCTAAAGTTATGACTGTTCTGTAGTTGATAATGTCAAAGCTACAGGTACATAACATGTAATTAACCTGTAACACTCTCTGTCATATCATATGACTAAGAGTTTATTGTATTGTATATTGTAGCATATTTCATAGAACACATTTAATGTGTTACACCAATCACCATTTTCTTACTCTGGTAAAATTCCTATTGTAACCTAATTTGATTTTTCCTGAGCAGATGTATATATAGTGATAGTTCAGCTAATGATATTATCTTCTGTTGCATGGCTAGAATGACATCAGAGCTTTCAGCTCTATGGTCTGTGAGATCTAAACTAATAGACATGATGTAGAATAACATTTCTGTCTGTGGTGCAGTACTTCAGAACACCAATATAACTCACAGCATTCAAATGTTCTTTCCAGAGTATCAGACAGTGGCAAAATCTCTTCAATTGAGAAAAGACAATTTCAGTTATCCAAGTAAACTGATGTATATACATCCTTCTTAAATTACCTAGCTATTTTATGTATTAACTATGGATTATAGTTATGTATTTCTCAACTTGCTGTTTTCCTTATGTTTTGTTGTCTCATTTTACATATCCTTCTTTCATGTTATTTCCTAGAGTTTTAGAAGCTCAACAATAGCTCTTCTTTTTTTGTGTGTGTCTTTTAAAAATATGCTCTTATACATTAATTTCCTTTTTTTTTTTCCTGAGTTAGGCATTTCCCTTCATTCTAATGATTCTTCACTAAAAATTTTTAACTGCCTCCTCCTTTCCATATCTAGTATAGTAGCAATGACAGCACCTTAAATTATAGTACTCTTTGGAGGCTGTCAGTCTAGCCTTAATTTAAATATATAGAGAAGCTCTTAGTCTGTGGAAAGCTTCAAGTACAGTCAAGTTATGATGAAGGAGATCTTTCACACCAAGTTTTAACAGATTTATTAACTTTAAGTTTGGTGCAATGCCCAGGAAGTCATCGTACCATTCTATTGATTTGGTCTAATCTGTGCACTGAACTCCCACCTGATGAGCTGAAGAAATAATCAATGTGAAACAAATTGATGATATTCTATCATCAGTTATAATGGGGGTATAAATAAAATAAATTCATGGATGTTAGAATGCGCCTCCTTACTGCTTACTGTTGGAGCACATCAGAAAGAAGCCTGCAATAGAAAACTCATTCTTAACAATTGCATGTATGTGTGTGTAATTTGGAGGGGTTTTATTTGCTTTTTGTAACAATTTGATGTGCAAGAAAATGTCATAGGACATTGTTCATTAAAAAATATCAGAAAAATGTTTCATAATCTGCTCAAAAGTCAGGTCCTGGCATTTTTTGTATCCATTTTATTTATGTGAGGGGTTGCATCTCATGCTTTTTATATTTTTCTGAAGCTTTTGCCTCTCACCTTCACTCATGATGCATTTCTCAGCACAGAAGAGTATCCTCAGCGGCTACAAATGTCTGTCAACCATCTTTTGCATTAGGCCTGCATTTACCAAAATCTTGCAGTATCGCCAAGAGAAGCTGCTGTTGTTCTGAAAGAGCAAAACCCCCACTCACCTAGTGGAAGATGCTTTGGGATAAATTCATCTTCTTTTTGACTTGTTACTGTTTAAATGCTGTGGGTTTTTCTGAGGGATCACAGCTCCACGCTCCTAGACAGAATGTTTTTCTTCTGTAATCACTGGGGCTCAGAGCAATGTGTGGCTGAATGGGCCATGATTATTTGCAGGCTGTACTCTTTCTTCTCCTTCTGCAGCTCTAAAATACCAAAATGCAGCTGCGATCCTACTGTGTAAATGGTGTGAGCAGAGAGGTCATTCAGGACAATTCAGTATTGCCTATTTTTTATGGATGTGGCTTTGTAGCTACTCTTCAATGTCTTGCTGAGGTTTGGTTAGAAAAACCAAGCAAGCAAGAGCCTATCAAGACAAGGCTTATGGGGTCAAGTGCTGCCTTTTCTTAGGCCAGGCTCTTATAATGGGAAAAAATGGACAAGCTTTATATATGTGGGCCTTTTCTCAAGTCATTTATGGAAACCATCATATCTATGAGAGCAGTAGGCCTTGCTGCTATGGAGCAAGCTGTAGAGTGTTTGTGGATTGGGAGTAAAGAAGATTCTTTGGCTGAACTTCTGGCAGAAGGAACTTGGGCAGAAATAAAATTGTGTTGCTCACTAAATGTGCAAGAGTTAGACAAATATGTCGGTGAAGTAACAGGGTGAGGGTGAATGGATTGGACTTCACAAATAAACATGTCTGTATGAACTGAGATGTTTTTGGTTCCTTGAGAAATAATATCTATATGTAAGAAATGTTCAGGCTCCCTAATGAACAAAAACTTAAAATTTTTTACATAGAGATTTTTTTATAGTACACCTAGCTAAAATTATGTTCATTTGCAAGCTCAGAACTCTTGCAGGAAGAAAACTCCTTTGGTAACTGGAAACACTCTCAGATCTATTGTCAGGTACCTTAGTGATACTTGGGTGAATTTGAACCAAAGACTTGTTTCACTTTGCTAGTGAAAATGAGAAATAACCCCACTGAAATTAATGGAATTCCATCAATGAAAGTGAGGATAGACTGGTTTGCTGTGCTTATAAAAAAGTAGAAAACAATGTTTTTCTTTTTACATGTATTTTTAAATTTATTGTAAAAGTAAAACTGATTTCTTAAAAAGTGAATCTGTTTTGATCGTATTCAGTTCTCAAAGTTTTTGTGTGAAATACATTTCAAAACACTGCAGTGATTTTTCAGCAGTGTACCCTTGCTAATATTCCAAGAAAACAAGTGCTGCTATATGTGAACATTAGTGGCATATTTCCAAACATGGAATTTTATAGCTCTTATCAAAGCCCAGGCTGATGGGTTTGAGTGACATCTCCCAACTCCAGAATGAGGATGTATTTGTACCATAATGCATTGAAGACAGGCGTGGCACTGAACATGGACATGGCACTGAAGTGCGCCCAGTGATTGACTGGAACTTGATTATTGCCTCTGGGGAGTGTACCAGTGCTGTTGGCACACAATTTTTCTCCCTTGGTTTGAGGTTTCAGTTTGTGTATTAAACACTGTACTTTTGCTGTACTTCCTGAAAGAAAGACAAATTTTTCAGATCAGCATCCAAGGTGCTTAGACTCAGAAGAGTCTTGGCAAAGGCCTCTGAAAGGGCCATGAACCTTTTTAGAGAAACTGATTTTGATCACAGAGAGTTTAGACTAAAACATAAGAAAGTTATGGCCCTTGTGCAGAATAGACACAGCAAAGGAATAGTTTCTTCTGGAAAAAATTAAAAATCCTGCTAGGTCCAGCTAGGTTTTTCAAAACACATGTTGTCTGAAGTTTTGCCGATGTCTGGGCTCTGTCTAGGGGTACAAGGGGGTGCCCTGAAGGCTCATTGCTGAGCTGACTGGATGAACTGGCCTTGGTAGCAGAAAATGTCTCCCTACATTGACAGAGATTGAGCTTGCACAGCAATGCCAGCCTTCCATCTGGACACAATTAATTGTACAGGTAGTGCTTCATAGATGTGCCCGCAAAGCCGAAAAGTATCAGAGGGCTGCCTGGTGGAGTAAGGTTTTAAAGCAAGGGCCTAAGCTTATTGTGGCTAGAGCTACTCCCTCCAGCTTACGTAAGGCTTTCTGCTGATACATGTAGCCATACTGAGATTTTGCTGACTCTGGAAGCAAGACTAACAGAAAAAATGTGTACAGTTTCATAGGAGCCTAGTCTGTGTTGTTGCCGGGAAAAGGAGGGATAGTCACGTCATAGGAAATAGGAATGAGATTGTGTTCAGGAATTAGCTGTAAAGGGTGATGTTTTCTGCCGTTCAAGCAATCCATTCAGGTAGACAGTATCAGAAAGCCTTGCAGGTCTATTACTTCCTCTTGTTAAAAATAAGAATGCAAAAGGCATATTCTTACACATCAAAGAGAGATGAGAGGTATTTGCTATTTTTATATATATATTTTTAATCAGCAGAAGAAATAAAAGTTTTCCAAAAAATGAAGTACCATGGGAGAAAAAAACACAACCTACCTCCAAACTCAAAAAATCTCTGGGATTGGCTACTTCCATTTCTTCAGAATGAGCTCAGATCACCTTTTCCAGCTGAGTACTAAGAGGAAAGGAGAAGTGAAAGGTTTTTTCTAATGTCTGCTCTAACTTCTGTAATTAATAGAAGGGATAATTTACTGGTTACTCAGCTGAATTATATACTAGCAAGAGCAACATAACATTAGTAACTTGGGAGGAGCAATAAAGAGTTTGTACTTGGGTAAATGTTTATCTCCCAGCAAGAAACATCTGAGTCACCAAAACAAAAAAGTCAGTCACTTATACCAGGCAGCCAGGTGGCAGCTTTTGTCTCTTTGGTTTTTTGTTAAATAGCAAGATGAATTAAGGGGTGGTTGATCTCGTTAGGTGTCTGGGGCTTTGGAAGGGTTGTGTCCCAATGTTTATATTAGTTCTGCTAGTCATTTTATAAAACTTTGTTTATCTGGCAGGAAGAATGAGGCAGCATTTTACACATGTGGTGCCAGCTCTACAACTGCATCAAGTGGCAGAATAATCAGGCATTTGGGAGTAATTGCCTGGTTAGTTGTGCCAACTTTGTGGCAGACAAAACCACCAGAGTTCTGAGCAAATGGAAGCATATAAAATTCAGAAAGAGTATTTTTTTCTTATGTTGCTCCCATCTTGAGTGGCTGCACCTGGGCACTGGTCCACAGCAGCATCATTTTCACACTGGGCCACTGAGTCTGGCCCAAATGTGATAGATTTAAGGGATTGTGTGGATAGTAATTAAGGATAAATGTAGCAATCGTGAGAATTGTGTTCTCTTACAGTAGGAAATTTTTGTTGCTATTTCTGTGTGGTTTAGGACAGAAAGACAGAAAAACAGTTACTACGCTGTTGGTTGGTTTAGAGGATTATGCCATTATCTAGTAAACATGTTTTGGTTTTTTTTTGTCCTAGGTGCTACAGGGACTACTAAAGATGTGTAAGTACTTACTCTTCTCTACTCTTTAAAATATATAACCCTGGACATATATTCAGTCATACTACCCTTATACTAGATTTAGTCATACATGATTAATCTGGCTTCTAACATATAATCAACACAACCAGATGTTTACTGTCTTTAGTGACAGCTTTCATCTCCACAAAACAGCTCCTTGTCTTGTTTACTTTTCTACAGATTTCTTTGCTTGTTATTTCTCTAACAGAAATTTCTTTTCTCTGCTTCTGTTGAGACAGTTTTCTAGCAGAGCTGGTTATGTTAATTCAGACTGCTTTTCCCCATCATGTGCCAGTGCACCTTTTTCCAAAGGCCATCTAATTGTATGAAGCCAGCACATACATTTCCACCAGGCCCAGTGAGAGATTTAGAAAGCCACTGAGACAAATTCCCTCTCTTTTGCATGAGACCCACTAACCTGTCCAACTTCCTTTTCAAAGTACCCACCTTCTCTAGGTATTCTCTGCATTAAAGATAGCATCTATTTTTTTGACACGGGGTAGCAGAGGTAGCCCTACCCATCCCGTTTTTCTCTAAATGTGCAAGGTCAAGTTTTATACTTACTTGCTGACACAGGAATGCACAGGAACAGCTTTATTCAGCCATAAATGTATTTTTCTACCAAAGAAAACCATAAAGAACTCCTCCCGAGGTCTTGCCTTCTCCTATTTCATGTTACTGGTATTTGCCACTAGCTGGGAAAGATTGTTATGCTATGCAATAGGAACATCCTTCGGTTTTATTTACTTCGCTTAGAATAACTCCTCTAATTAGATGGAGGAATCCTGGTGTAGAAATGAGGGCAGTCAAGTCAGATAAACAAGTGGAGGGAAGAGCTTAACAACAGGCTTGTCCTTGCTATTACAGAGCAAGGACAAGAGAACTAACAACAGGTGTCACTTGGCTGATCAACACTGTTGCCACAGGTACTCTTGAGATCTGTCTTACCTCTGTAGTCTGTTTTCTGGGCTTGCAGTGCCAGACAATAAATTACAGAAGGGAATCTTATAAGGAACCTCTTCTTGATGCAGCCTGCAGCATCACTGCCCTCAGTACTCCTGTATTTACAAACCCACTGGTTTAATTTACAGCAGGACCTTATTTGTTGTTCAATTTAGATGATTTAAGGACTGACTTAGAACGGCATCTTTCTTTTTGCTCATCGGTAGTTTTAAATTTCAAAATCTCATGCACTGTTAAATTATGAATGTTGTAGGCATGTTCCTGTGCTTAAAGGTATGGAATATGTAGAACTGTGAGTATATATAGAACTGTGTTTAACTGTGTGTAAGCATTTTTAGAGCCTGGCTGCAGGAGTTAAAATGGGAACATCCTACTTATTAGTGTGAGTTCATCTGTCATGTTTCAAAATAGTATCAAAATAACTTTGAAAAAATGTGTAGTCTTCAACAAAGTGAAAGGGTCTATCCTGGAGCTATTACTCATTCAGATTAGGGACAGTGGAGCCAGCCAAACAACCCATATGAGTAATAGCATGGTTGAACCTTCTCATTGGATGTTAGAAACACACACCTACTAAAGAGGAATGGCAGTGATGACCCAAAAGCCCTGATCAGGCATTCTAATACTTAACAGAAGATTTTTATGAAGGAAGTAAACTATCAGAAAAATTATTTTCATTTCATAGAAATGAAAAAATCAGATTTGTATTAACTAATATTACAGATCCACAAAACTTTTTTTACACCTTTTTACTTTCATCAGCTAAAGTTTCTCTTTAAATAACCCTTATCTTTTTCTTTTGCTGTCAAATTTCAGTCACAGCAGTTTTGATCCAGACAAACATTTAGGTGTGTCCATCCTTTCATGCTTTTGGATACCAAATCTGGTTATTCTAACATGAGGTTTCTCATTTCTTGAATGTGACTCATTGCCAAAGCATCATGACTCCTGGAGTGCGCAGCCAGATGGAAGCGAAGAGGGCTGGATCCTGCTCGGAGCCCTCCTAGGTGACTGTGAGGAAGCTGCTTTGCCCTGTGGGGCTGGAGTTTCTCCATCAATTAGATAGGGGTGATGATATGATCTTCCTCTGAAAGGGCTCTTCCTCTCTGAGGGCTGTGTGGTGACAAGGACACATGCTCCGAGAACATGTCTGCCCTCTGTGCTCCAACCCAGGATCTGCCAGCCAGCTTCAGCCCATACTCCGGCCGCACTAATAAAGAAACATTCATCACTGCTAATTGGGAAAGCCTAGCTGTAGGAGAAGTAAAGGATATGCTAGAAAGTAATGCAATGCCTGTGGTATTCAGTGTGTAGCTAAGTCTGGGGGAGGATTAGTTACAGTAGGAAGGAAAGGATACAACAGTTCAATTCCATTTCAAAATATTGAGAAGAAATGCATCAAATAAAAATTAAAGGCACTTGTTCCCAAGAAACACCAAGAATCTGTGGAGTAGTTGTCTGTCACTTGTTCAAAGTTCAATGAATCATTACTGGTGGGACTACTGAGCCCATCTAGAAAGAGTCTCTATAATGATCGAAACGAACGGAGCCATAAAAGCTGAGGTAAGAAAAATGTGGATGAAAAGAATTGGTGTGAATGCCTGTCATCTGACATTTAAAATATATGAGAAATGGCAGCTTCTTTTACCATCAAATGGACATAGCAATGAGCAGTGGCCGGTGAAAAGTGAAACGCCCAGGCTAGATAAGTGTCCAGCCAGCCTCCAGCCAGTAAAGCACTTCCCCAACCCGAAGTCAGGGCCTTGTGCCTAAGGCGATGTCAAGCCTTGCGGACGTGTGGCCGCAGTAGAGAGCTCCGAAGTCGCAGGATGAAATGAAGAGGCGACCCTCAGTTTCTTCGGGGGGGCGGTTTTATTGGTAGGGAAACGTGCAGGTTCAGGTAGAAGGAGCTGAGGGCTCCGAGGCAGGGAAAGCCTCGGTTTTACAGAGGGTGGGAGGGGTGAAAGATAGCAAATCAGAGAGGGATACATTAAGGATTGGCATAATCAGAGAACCCATCAAACACAGTTGCGGGAGGGACCCTGGCCCCTAACCCAATCACTCGACACCCTGGCCCGAACTCTCTAGTAAAAGAGGCAGGGGTGTCGAGTGACAGGCAGGCTGCCAGGGGTGGGGAACAAGAAGGATACATTTGGTAACCAAGACAACTGGGGAGGGGTTTGGGGATTGACACAAACTGGTAACAGGGCAGGACCTTCTGAGAGAACAATGGGGGGAAAACTGAACAAGCATAAAACACACCACAACAATGGATGTAAAAGCTGACAGATGAACAAAGTGTGTTTTTCAGATTTTCGGTGACAGGAAGACTCTTGGGACAGACAAAACCTTATCAAAAGAAACACTTATTCAGCTGTAAATAGAATGCCATTTTGTGGATTTGCTCTTAAATCTGCCCATTGGCTCCAGGACTCTGCCCATGCTACCTGCTGAGAACCATGCTCTCAGCTACTCTGCTGATGTCAACAGCATCTGAGGCAGTGACACAGCAGCCAGTCAGCACTAGGTTCCTTGAACTGTTTAGTTCCTTTTGCTTTCTATTCCTGGTGCAGAAAAGCTTATCCTAGCTTGCTGTCCCTGGAGGACTGCTGGACTCCCGTGTCCATGTGAGCCCAGGAGATGTGGCAATGGGAACAGTGCCAAAACCAAAGGAGCTTCTCTCCAGTCTCACTGCCAACTCAATATGGTTGAGCATTGCTGTAGAAGAAGTAAAGGATATGCTAGAAAGTAATGCAATCCCTGTGGTACTCAGTGTGTAGCTAAGTCTGGGAGCTTTGCTCCGTGGAGCCACCCGTGTTCACTCAGCCTGGGCACAGAAGCAGCACCTGTCTCAGTAGCTCAGCAGACACTAAACATGCAAAATTAGTGGGCACCCTGCAAAAGGGGGTCTTGAGCCATCATTTGTGAAGGTGAGAAGTGTGTGAATATGTGTAGTAAATAAACAGGGGCAGCATTCCTTCCTGAGCCTCCAGAAAGGTGTGTAAAATGGCTCATTCCTTAAGTGCCATCATCTAAAATTTTCTTTCTTTTCCCTCTCACACTCCCATGTTACTCCTATCTCTGCTCATTTCCTCTTTTCTGGCAGGGCTACAACAGTTTGCCCCCAATCATTGCCCAGCCCAACAGCTGTTGTCTGTACAATCCCAGATTAGTTTTGCTGTCATGCATTTGAAGAAAAAAGGTATTGCAAAATTACTAGTTTGATTTATAGCTAGTAAGAGGAAAGGAAGAAAGCAAAATGTTTAAAAACCCTCTTGTCTGCTCAATCATAGACCTGGATAATTTGTTTTGTGAGAGAATCACAGTAATAGTCTGTGATGCCATATTACAAAACATTTCTGGAACAGAAGAAATTGGCCCTGTTTCCTACCAGGAAACATAAAAAAAAAAACCAAAACAAAAACAACATTAATTTCATGTTGGACAATATTGATTATTATTCTTACAATTCCATTTCAGAGGCTTCAAGCTGTGCCTGAAGTTTTTGGTGCCTTTAAATGACTCTTTTCTCTGGACAGTGGTTAATCCGGATTATAGAAAATGTTCCAAATAGTATGAGAAAATCAAGCCTGTGACACATTTGGTTGGTTCAACAGAAATGACTGTTTGTGATCTTTTGGGATCCAAAGTCCCTTTCCTTAAGTAGAATTTTTTTCCCCCTAAAAATACATTCTCATTTCCACCCACTGATATACACAGACTTTCCATTTTCTTCAGGAGAAACTGGCCCACACTGTGACAGAGCAGCTTCACAGTCCTCAAGAAAAAATGTCTCTGCATTCTCTGTCAGTGTGTGTGAAGACTGTAAGATGACTTAGGTGACTACATAGGGTTACAGGAGATGGGAAATGCCTTCTGACATGTCTCTGGTTCCTCCAGGAAGGGATGGCAGGAGGGACAGGAAATGAGAAGTTTATTGATCAGTCTTTCTTGAGTGGTAAGACATAGACAAAGACAGCAGACGAAGAGTGCTATGTCCTGCATAAATATAATTTAGCAAAATTGAAGAATAATAAGATTTTCTCCAAGCCTCAACTATTAAAGGACCTGTGTACCCTTACTCACTGTGATGATGCAGAAAGGATAGTAGGTAATGTCCCTTAGGAAGAAGGTAGATGTCAGAAAATTTCCAAGCTGTAGCAGTATTTTAAGGCATTTGCTCCCCTCCCAGGAGGTTTAAGGGCATTTTCTTGCACTTAAGACTGCATCTTACTATGAGCCCTCTGCTCTTCAGGCCAAAATCCCATTGACTTCAGGGCCCTGTAAGAGCATAGAGCCCCAGCAACTAAACAGCAGGCACATCAACCTTTTAGAGTAAATAAATTGGTCGGAGACCCAGCTAAAGTGCAGCTGCTGCCCCATCCATACCCAGTCATGGAAGTAGAGCTCAGAATCTGAATATTTAATCAAAGGTGGGTGAGTAATTTGTGTGATGACTGATGTTGGGACACAGTCTGAGACTGCAGCACAGGCATTGCACACTGAAGGAGTAAGAATAAATTATTTTTATTTTTTGTATTACCTTTGCCTTCACATCAGTGCTGGTTACTTTAACTCCTGCTCCCATTCAGCTACACTGTACTACACAGTACATAACTGGGAGGAATCAAACCTCAGTGACTCTGTTGATCTACAGGCTGATCTGTGATTTTGCCCTAAAGTTAAAGGAGACATAATTGCCCATTTATATGGGATTATTAACAGTATTTGGTCTGCAAACAACAGGAATTGCAGTGCCTCATTTTATAGAGAGGCCTTGTAACAGTTTCTGGATTCTGTAATAGCTGCTGTGAAAATTTCTCTCTCCTCGTCCTCACTCACATGCCAGCACAGACACCCAGTCCCTTTCTTTCCTCTTTTAGGGGAATAGCAGTCCAGGCTTGTTCCTGTTACATGCGGAGTCTTAATGTTCCTTTTATGTGGGGAGTAGTGTGGGGACTCACTCAGGAATAGTGTTAATTCACGTGTTTTGCTCCCAAATCTACTTTCAGATCTCACTGGTGGGGGTCATATAAAGTAAGCTACATCTTTTCTCAATCCTTTATTTCTTCTGTACCTTATACTGGAAAATTGTCCCTTTTTTATACCTGCATGAGTACTTTGTTGATTGGTGGATGCCCTAATTTAAACTGGGGTCAGTAATAGTTCTTCCCTTGCTTCTGAATGTACCCAGATGGACATGGAGCACCTGAAAGAAACAATCTGCTAACATGCTTTGTATCTTTTGATGTTGCAGAGCAGAAGAATCCATATCAGATGATGACAAAAGGAGGTAGGTGCTCTGCTCAACCAGGGTTAGCTTTATTTGCAATAGGCTGCAGCGAGTTCTGCCACCGGTTCTGCATCCTTCCTTCCCTCCTCCTAACTCCCAGCAGCACCAACAAAGCAGAGGAGAAACAAAAAGAGAGGAGGAAGTCTCACACAGAGTCAGATATTGATGAGTCCACCCAGCTTGTTATTGAGCTGAGGAGGTGGGAACTTGGTGGTAAAAAGAGCACATTATCTTGCAGCTGTAGGTGGTGTGCTCAATAAGGGCTGGTGGCCTCTGCCTTCACACCATCACTGCCACAGAAGGTGACATTAGCGCTTGTGGGAGATCTCTGCTGGGCTGGAAGTTGAAGGAAGTATGAGTCTATCATCAAGCAAATTAGAAATTGGCTCAGACTCCCAGGACCTGGAGGAGGTGTGAGGTGTTAATTCAGCACCTAACAGGGCAGAGCAGTGTAAAGGGAGTCTCTGCAGGTAACTCCAGGCACAGTAGAGGCTTTAAGAACCCATTTTTTTACCCCCCCGTTTATCTGTCCCTGCTTTTCATACAGGCTCTTTGGAGCCAGAAAGAATCCTCTGCAAGTCCATGAAGAGAGGGAGAGGGTTGGGCCATGAAAGTACCTAAGACACTCGTGCTCCTTTATACTAGCAGTTTTCTCTAAGTGTGACCCTAAGCAGGGGCAGGCAGGTTGCATTTCTTAATGAGGTAAAAGTGCTATTTAATTGGTGTGCATTGTTTGAAGCGTGGTGCTTTGGTGGTCCCAGTGTCAAACATCAGTGTCAGATTAGTTCTGTCCTCAGCTGGATATACTCAGAAGAAGCTGGGCAGGTGGGGTTTATTATTGTCACAAGACAGCTGGGATCCTGTGATAAACATCAGGAATTTGCGTGAAAAAGTAGCTCCTTTCACAAGACAGCTGGGATCCTGTGATAAACATCAGGAATTTGTGTGAAAAAGTAGCTCCTTTCACAAGGAGAAGTGTCCCAGCTGGGCTCTGATGTGCCTCTAATTATTTCTCCACCAGGAACTATGGAGGGGTGTACGTGGGCCTGCCATCGGATGCGGCTGCCATGGCTCCCAGTCAGACGAAAGCTGCACCCAAAGGTACTGTAGATTTATTTTCTCTTGCTTTCTGGGGATCATTTTATCTAGTAGGATATATGTCCTTTAAAAATCAATTATTATTTCAGACAGACTGGCTAGCCTTGAAGCCTCTTAATGCTGTGGGGCTATTTATACTTGTCAAAGGGATTGTTCCCTTTTATTTAAAATTTGACACGCTTTTGCAGAAGGATCCTAGAGCAAATGCTGACAGTGTAGGTACATGGTCTTCTGAACATCTTCTCCACTCTCTGACTGCACTGTGAATTAAAAGAAAACAAAACCCTGTTAGGACTAAGAGGCTGTGATAGATGCACTTGCAGAGCCCCGGCGCTATTTTTAGTTTTGAAGGTATTTACTTGCATTGTGGTGAATTCCAGTAATAACAGTTAGTAAGTGCTTGCTGTCAGGTTCATTTCTGTTCTTAAATGAAACCCAGCAGAAACTGTTTCTTTTCCATGTTATATTTTTGAGCAGTGGGAAAAAGCATTAGATTTATAGCTATTTAATTGACAAGTCATAAACATGTAATTATTAAATAATTTAATATTCTTTTGATTTAACACAAAAAAATGCTGTTGTCACATATGTACAGCATAGAGTTTAGTCACTGACTGGTGCTTTCAAAATTTACTGCAAAACAAGAAAAGGAAAAACAGTAACACTTTTAACCAAAATAAAAGTAGCTGGTTTTGGAACAGTACTAACTAAACAAAACACGTGTTTTGTTTTGTTTTTTTAAAGATTTTAACCATCTTTGTCTTTCATTTTCTAATTAAGATTAGAAGGAAATAAAGACATCAAGATGCAAACAGCCCGAGGTACAGTATGTTTTGATTAACATTATGTGCTTGGCATGCATTTGTTGAACAGAACAAGGCAGCAATGCTCCCTCTGATGCTCTAAGTTGGTCTGGGAACCACCAAATTACATCTCCAGCTGCATAGTAACTTCTAAAGGCTGGACTAGGGACCAGTTCTCAGTGGGTGAAGATATAAACTAGACAGTAGTAAAGTCATCTTCTTGGTGAAAATTGAGAAGCAAGGAAACTTCATTTGGGAGCAAATAAAAATCAAATGTCCTTAGTGGTACTCAGACCTCCCATAAGAGGTGAGGTACATCAGATCAGCATTTGCAGAGACGAAGATTTTTCCAGGAATGAGGATTTTGCAGTTAGAAAACATCTCCGTTTTTGGAAGGACCTTGAAGACCATAGTGTGTCACCCACTAAGTAATGTATTGGAGCTTTCCCCTTGCTATGGGAGTATCTGTGGGGGCTTCATTTTCCACCAGCTATAATAGAACATTGAAGATTTATAGGCTCTATTCCTGAGTGAAGAGTTTCGACTAAGTTTAAAAAAAAAGCTTTATTAGTTCACATCTGCAGAAAAAATAAAAACAAAGCAAGTTTCCATTCAGTACTTGAACTAAATAAACATTGACAAATTTTGATATGGAATTGTTTTGATGTTTAGCCAGTGGGGAGCTGAAAACTATTAAGCTGCCAACAATTTCCATAAGAAGTAGAGCTCTTTCCTAGAGAAATGGTTTTGACTGTGCTGGATGCAGGCCTTGTAGAGCAGAACACATATAATAAGTGCCTTTATTATATGAGTGATTAAAGCCCCAGAACTTTTGTAGGAGCAGTCCTAAACAGGGAGATTCAGGTGGTCTTCACAGCTAATTTCAGTAACCTGGCTGAGATGTCTAAGCTAGAAACACCATCACCCTTGACCAGGTAAAGGCTCAAGCAGCATCTTGAAATTGCAGCTTTCCATCTGTGGTTTATGAACAGAGTCTGAATTGCTTAGGTCTTTGTCTAGGTGCTTTAGTTGAATGCTTGAGGCTGGATATAATCAATCTCTTGACTTTTTTTTTTTGCTATTTAAAATAGCTGAAAGTGTGCTTTGCCTTCATTCATGCAAGATCAGAGCTTAGCTGCTGACTCAAGTCTTACACAGAAGAGCAGCTTCAAATCTGCAAAGGTTCCTCTGAGCTCCACGAGTTTATGTGCGTGTGTGTCTGAAGTTCATGGACTACAAATCTCTCAGCTTCTAGTCACAACCTAGTTCTCTGGTTTATGTATAGAACATTCCTGTGTTGCTTTTCCACTATTGTTTTACCACTCTACCTAAATCCTAAATCTGTTCTTTTTTTTCTTTTTTCTTTTTTTTTTGGAACAGTCTATTGAGAACAGTTGCCAGTGCTTTGGAGAGAGCTGTCTTTGTGCTGAAGATTTTGATATTTACACAGCCTTCCAGAGAGCAGGAGAGATCAGAGCACCAAAAAATCCAAACTGTTCCAAGTTCCAGCAACGGGTAAAGCTTAAAGTACAGCGTTGAATTCGTTTCCAATGATAGTTGCATTATGGAAACCTCCTGCTGTTCTCCAGTGAAAGATGAAATTTGTGAACTCATGGTGGATGTTTCTGCACAAGAGCTAACTTTGATGATCTGCAACTTATTTCTCTGTGGCCATATTGCAGATTCCATCAGCTATCAGCTATGCTTCATATATTTCCTCAAAAAAGTTTGATAGATTTTGTATAGAAAACCATCACTACTGTCCACTCAATAGTTTCTATGGTAGGTTCCTGTAAATTAATTGTTATTTTACTTCAGAGTAATATATTTGACAAGTTTGCATCTTTTTGGGAATATTGCAAATTTTAATATTTTTGCTGTGAAATACTAGGAATAGGATGAAACAAGCTTAAGACCTTAAGGTTCTTTATAATTATTTCTATCCCTTTTATACCATGTGACAAATATTAGTGTTTAATTTTCACCTTGTAAAAAGATGTTGCTCAAGGAAATTGATTCAAATAAGAAGGATATACTTCATTGTATTATTTACATGTCTGTTTATATTTTACTTTAGCTATATCTCTTTTATAAAGCATTACATGCAAAAAAATACTAACAAAATAAACTATTATGTGTTCCATTCCATGTAATAATAATAACATGTCCTTGCATAAGGATGAAGTGATAGTATTTTCAGAGCTAGTGGGACTAAACTCCAGTGCTGCATCCTCTTGACCTGTAGAGTATTTTTGATCATTATTAGAGTTTTGTATCCATGTCCCATCTGAAAGCATCTCCAGTATGGCAAATTGAAACAGAATTAGCATTATTACTACTTTAGCAAATTGTTCAGGTTTTAAAATTCATTAACTTAATAGCAATTGTAAGTTTCACATAGAACATAAAACAGATTGTACATTTACAGATGGCTGAATAAGTATTTAAACTACTAAAACCTTTTGCATTATTCTTTAGTCAAACTCTTTTTAATGGGACTTGATACACCATACACTTTAAATAATCAAATAAACAACAAAAAAAACCCACCCAATCTGCAACATATTAATATATTACTGTACATTCATGACTATTTTTAAAATTAAAAGAAAACAACAAACCATAAAATTTGGGCATGAAGAAATAAGCCACCGTGAACTGTGACATTCCTGCACTTTTCACTGATACCCATTACTACCAGTGAACTACCATTGACTATGATTTCCAGGAACTTGAAGCTTTCACTTTTATATAGTGGTAGTTTGATGTGAGGCTTGCAAAAAGAGATATTTAAAAGTATTCCTTGCTTGTCCTCTTTTAATTATTTGTGACATTATTTATGGCTATTCTCTAGCAATCTGCTACTTGGGTTATCAATGATTTTAGGCTTCCAGCTCCTGTATCTCATTCTTGACTGTCAACCTCAAACTGAGATGAAATAAGCTTGAGAGAAATAAGCTTGAAGATGTGGTGTTAAAATATCTCTCAGTATGAATGAAAGTCTGTAGATTGTAACTGCAGTGTCTTGTTCTTGCAAGCCAGACTGGTGAGGACTCAAGTGGCCCTGGGTGATAAACATGCAGGCTTTTCTCCTACCTGCTTACCGTAGCATGAGGGTATAGTTTCCACTTCACATGTTCCACAAATGACCAAAATGGTTTGCACAAGTTTATTTAGTACAGAGCAATGCCTGACCTGATCACGATTTTTCTTCCCAAAGCAGAAAAAGCATCAGTCATCCTAGAATACATCAGCATTCAGCTTGTGCTCAAAAAGCCAACAGCTGGTGCCAGTAATCAACCCAGTTGTTTATCCAGTTCTGTCCTTCAGTTGCTGGGAAGAATTATCAAAAAGTGGACAGGGCTAAACTCGAACATCAGTTGTTCTGCTAGTGACATCTGAAGCTCCATGTGTGGACAGAGGGAGGAAAGAGGTGATTGCTGATGAACAGCTCCTCACAACTGGTGGTGGGACCAGTTGCAAGGGGTACTTTCCTTGGTTCACATCATTGCTTGTTTTTCCTGTGCAGAGCTACAGAGAAGCTTGGAGCACTTTGCAGAATTGGTCTTTTAATGTTTCATCCTCTTAATGTGTGGGAGGTACAGTAGTTTCTTAATATTTTTGTTCCTCTGCGTTGTTTAATCTCAAAAGTTTACTGACCAGCTGACAAATGTGCAGCATCACAGACTGGAACCTCTAAAATAGACATACATTAATCTATGCTGTGCAGGCCTGTGCCATCAAACTGAAGAGCTATGGCCATACTCTTGTCTTCAATTTGCAGATTCTTGTCTTTTGTTTTCCCAAAGATCCATGAATCTAGAAACTGTGTTACAGGATGCTGTATTCTGTCCTGGCCAAATTCCACTTAGGGAACTGATTTTCTGCTCATGAAAAGTCCTCTATGGTGAGCCGCCTTTGTTTAGAAAAGCACGTGTCATTTAATGGAGAAATGAGTGTATCTGCTCTTTCAAAACTTACAATCTATGGATATTTCTGTTAGGAGGACGAACAAAAAATAAACCCTATATGCCAGCTGCCAGCTGTGCATGTGACGGCATCCTTGGAGAATATTTAGGCACTCAAAAGATGATTCAATGGGAGAACTGAGAACAGAACACAAGGAGCCATTGAATGACAGAGTTATTATTAAGGAATATACTTTGGTTTTGTCAAAACATCTTGAATTACCATTTGGGAAAAATAAACATTTAAATGTTGGGGCTGTAATACCATTTTCCTTGCAGTGATTACTGTTTCTCCAGCCAGAGCTGAGGAGCCAGTGGAAATAATTCAGCAAAAAAAGTTTTTGGGCTCTATAATCTCACAGTCTCTGATCTAAAATTCTTTGGTAGCCCAGAAATATTATGCTTGAATTCGTGAATCTTGAAAAATTCCGGAGTAGGAAAACATAAGATTGAAACAACACAAAATATCTTATATTGCAAATTTTGGTCTCATACAAACTATATCACCTCAAAGCTTCTCTTTTGAATTATGCTAATGAGACAGTGCATTTATTTTTCTTTCTACTTAATGCAGGTGCTTTGTTGTAAGTGCCCAACTTCTCTGTTTCTGGGTGTTCCAGACAGAAATAATGCTTGTCTTTTATGTGCCATACACATCCTGGTGTAGTTCAGATGATGTGACAACTCTAAGCCTCTATGTTGCTCAAGGGTTAAATCTTGTCACTAAGAGAGTTGCAGAAGACCTGGTAAAGGCCAGTGTAAGCTGAGTTAGGACTTCATTCACTAGAAATGAAATATTTTCCTAGCAAAGTCCACACAAGGCTGAAGCTGAAGAAAATCATAGAGGTGAAATTTGTCTCTAATGAACACAAAGTACTAATTTACTTGTTTTCATCCTGCATGTCTGGCAAAGGAGACTCTGCTATATGGGACTATGGTTGAAGTGGCATCACTATTCCCTGTCACCCACACAAGTCTAGCAGTTCTCAATAATCATGCTTGCCAAGCAGTCAGTGAGTCACTGCTGATCTGTTTTCTGCAAAGTAGACCTCTGTTTGGTTCCCATGGTGATCAGAAGTGACAGTTATTACGGGCTACTACTACAGATTAGCAGTTGTGTGTGCCCACTAAAAGAAGCTCTTACCTAGTTATAGTCCCTGGATGTTTTGCAGTGCATCATCATTGCTTCCTACTGGCAGCAATTTAAATGCTTCAGGTGAATTGGCTTTGTAGAGAACAGGCTGAAGGAGGGGGATTTGGGAAGTATTTTTGTTTTGCAATGTATTTAGAACAAGATGAAGAAAATAACAACTCTGTAAACTTTCCATAGAGCAATGGTGGTCCAGTATTGCAGGAAATGTTTTGAGGCTGGGCTAAATGACTCAACCCTTGTTTTAAAGATAATCAAGCACAGAACTTAGGTTTATCATAATAGGAGCTATTTCATTTTATCTGATCTAACAATTTTTGCTGAAACTTAGGGGTTTTCAAACACAGAAGAATTTCCTAGACAGCAGAAATCTGTCACCCTTGTTGTGGGATCTTCTGTGTACTGGTCACTATTAAAATACGTATAGCTGAAGATAGGACTCAGCTCATGAACCAGCTCATTCTGTGAAGTGCAGTGAAACTCTCATTAGCTTAGCTGTACTGAGAAAAGTACCACAGTTTGAAGCCTGGGTAAAAGTGGGCTTTGTGTGCCAGAAAGGAGAAAACACATAGGAGAACAGGAGAATGGGGATTATTGTGCAGTGAAGAGAGATGTAGAAAGAGGTTAGGAACAGAAAATTATGTAAAAAAGGAAATACCTTAATTAAGTATCCACTGCGTTTCTCTGTGATTCTAATCTCTAGAGCAAGAAGTAGACAGCTGCCAATTGTTTTAAGACTGAAGAGAAATGTGAGTTGGCTTATCAGGTCATTCCAACCCTCAGATGTCTGAGACTGCAAACCTTTAAGGAAATAACTTGTTTCATTTTTATTTGCTTAAAGTCCAGTGTAATGAGCCCATGCACCTTAATGGTCCTTCTGGGTGTTACCAGGATATATAAATATCCTGCTGTCTGTTTCAAAATTTCTTTTGCTGTTTCCTTTAGTTTATGTCTATAGGCAGTCTGTGAAAAAGACGTAAAAACAAAGATGTAAAAACAATTAACAGGGTTAATATAAGAATAGATTACATTGCAAGAATAGATAACATGCAAAAAGGAAGCCAATGTTTAATCTGAAAACCAGTGTAGAGATAAAACCTAAACTTTGGTTTAGTTATGCCATGTATTTTAGATTTCTGATATAATTAATGAATCACTGTGCAAGTGATTCATTTGGGTCACAGCACCTTATTAGTACTCTAGAATTAGCTGTCCACTCACAGAATTTTGTTTCTGATCTTTGATTCCTATGTTACAGGAGATGGCAGTAATGTGAAATACTAAATTCCACACTTCACCTTTGTTGTCCACTTCTTGTGTTGTCTGAATCTCAGTGTTGTCTGCAGGATGGCTTCATCTCCATAAAAACTGAGGTTGTGATTCAGAATGACAGTTAATTAGAAGCAAGTCATATTTGATAATAGTTTTGTGGGGGATACCAGACTGCTAGAAAATGCAAGACTTCATTGCATTCAAACTTTGGAGAGTCCATACCGCATCACTATCAAACTTGACTTGTCAGTATGCAAATATAAAACCACACACATAAATAAACAAAATCAGGGAGGTAACACACACTTTCAAGCTTATATCCAATATCAGGTTTATGGTTATGTATTACTGGAGTCTGACTGTAACCTGGAGCTGTGAATATTTACTTTACCTACAGCTAGGTTTGCATTCCCCAAAGGATATTGCTGTGAGGAAGCCTTGGAAGGACTCCCACTACCTGGGTTGTTTGTAGGAGCCTCACATGCTTATGGGAAATCAACCAATAGACTTTCTCTAAAATTAAAAGATTTAATCAGATCATAATGTATAAATAATATCAACTTGATCAAACTCCAAGTATTTGGTTATTAAAACAATGTACTTCATATTTGAAGTCTCACATGAAATCAGCTGCCTGCTTCTTTTTCCTCTTCCAAAAAGTGAGTTTCCTAAATAAATAAAAAAATAAATTCTTTTGGCTTTACAAGGAACTGCTTCAGATCATCAGATAGAAACAAACCATTTCTGGGAGGGAATTAATTTCTAATAAGGAAACTGTGCCAGCCAGGAGAGACGGAGGGCTTATAAATTCCAAATTATTTTAATAGGATGAATACTAGTTGGAGAATTTACATAGCACTGTTAAACAGCCTTTTTTTAAGACATCATTGCTTATATAAGCATTGCTTCTTGAGAAACCCAAGACTTCCATTGAAAAGAACGCTGAAAATCACTACTTGAAAAATAAGTTTTGATTTATGATAATATTTTCTCAAGAGCAGCATTATATTTTTTCTCCTTGAATTTCAAAAGGAAGCCAAATTCTCATTGGAGCCAGTGAGTAAACAGCCTACTTCTCCTTGCCTGCAAACAATCACAGATAATTCTCATTCAGAGGTACAAGAAAAAACATAACTGGTAGTAGTAATGTATGTGTTCA